CAGCCTCCATATTTAAGTAAATATTCTTGTCAGGTACAGACTGGTTTTATGCATGTGAGCATAAAGAGTGGAAGGAACCACAGGCTCCATTGACTATTCCAGTGTAACTAAATTGCTATTGGAAACAACAGTAAATAAGGAAAATAGTTACTCTTTTATTGCCAACCTTTTGCTTTGAAACAATAAAATCCCACCTTGGACCACAATAAAAATAAAATTTAAACACCTTGTTAAGAACACAAAAGTTGGTGGGGGGGAGATGGGATGGGACGGTAAGGGGAAACAAAGGAGGAGGTAACAATGCTTGATAAGAAATGCACTCATTACCTTGTCCATGTAATTGTAACCCCTCTGTACAGTATTTTCACAATTAAAAAAAAGAACACAAAAGTTTAAAATAAATGATAAAACTGAGCTACAGCAATTCATAAGATCCTTTATAGAATGCATCTTTAATAAAGTCACCTAGAGTAAACTCTGACCAGATTGGTAAATTCTCTAAGACAGCTTAATCTTTCCAACAAATACTAGCTACTCTCCTGTTCAGTAAGTATTTTTTTAATACATTAGCTACAAAAGTGAATCCAAAGTTGTATACTAAAATGTTGCTGTCCAAAAGGAATATAGTTGAGTTCATTTGCTAAAAAGGAGTCCGTTTCAAAGAACAAAACTGTCACATATTCAAAGTAGAAGGTGTGATGTGTAAGGAACCAGTAGAAACAGGAGATGAATACACTTGGATGGAGCTTGAGTAGAAAAAAGGGGAAAAGGTGACATAATCTTAAAACATACTGTTTTAAGAATTAGTCATTTTTGATTGAATATATACAATGTGCTTTGCACCATTTTGGGCTCCAGTAGATTAAACCGGAATAAAGCAGATTAACGCTCCTGGATATCGCAGGGCACTGGCGGCTCATGCCTGTAATCCTACCAACTCAGGGGGCTGAGATTTTAGAATCACAGTTCAAAGTCAGCCCAGACAGGGAAGCCCTTGAGACTTACCTCCCATTAACCACCAGAAAACTGGAAGTGGAACAGTAGACCAAAGTGATAGAGCATTAGCCTTGAGCAAAAGAGCTCAGAAACAGTGGCAAGCCCTGAGTTCAAGACCCATGATTGACCAAAACAATCCAAACAAACAAACAAAACCCAATAAAACATCTGTATGGGGAAGTCCAAACAATATTTTTTAAAGAACAAAATGAATTTCTTTGTGTGTAGTAGATGAAAAGTTGGCTTTGATTCACGGGAGATGGTGCCTCAGCCTCCTAAAATTATGGAATAGTTTTGCCTTCCCTAACACACAGCTCCCACTTTTAATCTGTATTTCTCTTTTTGCCATTTGCCAGATAACTGAAAGAGAAAAAAAAAAAAAAAAAACAAGTGGATAGCAAGAAGTTTCCCTTTCGGAAAGTCCTATCTGTAAAAACGACATCTCACTAATGATATGGGCTTGCAACTCAAAGGTCACGACAAATGCACATATGTGTTCTGTTCCAACCAATTGTGGCAGACTATTTTAAGGGAAGTCAGTGATAACAGAACAATAAAATGACCAAGAGTTGTGGGTGGTTTTTCAGGGAGACTCCTTTCCTTATGGCTCCCATCTCTACACTAACGATATAGAAGCAGGTGAAGAAAGTATTTTCAAGGAGAAGTTAGTCAAAAGTGTCAAGCTGCAAGGAAGAAGGCTGCTGCTTTACTCAGCAGCATGGAAGTCACAGATGGCTTTTTTGAGAAAAGTCTCTTTACTATCAAAGTAGTTTGCTTTCTTTCTTTTCTTTTCTTTTTTTCCTTTCTTTATCCTTTTTTTTTTTTTTTTTTGTCAGTCGTGGGCTTGAACTCTGGGTCTGCGCACTGTCCCTGCGCTCTTCAGCTAGAGGCAAGCGCTCTACTACAGGAACCACGGCGCCAGTTCTGGTTTTCTAGCGGTTAATTGGAGAGCCTGCCTGCTCTCTGTGCTTGCTTGCCAGATATTTGGCTGATGGTACACCCTTCTGCAGGAGTAAATTTTGCCTTGCCAAGTTCCTTGCCAGTTGATGTACTTATGCCTACGTGACACCCCCAACATCTCAAACCAGCTCTAACACCTTTGACAAATGGCACTGGCCATAAAAGACTGAGTAGAGTGAATTCCACACAGGAATAGGATCAGAGAGAGCAAGTATGTATGGTCTCTTGAGTAGAACGTGGAAGTGCCTTGAGCATGTAGGATAATGAGGCAGTAGAAATGGAAATGTTAAAATTACATGGGAGCCGGGCGCTGGTGGCTCACGCCTGTAATCCTAGCTACTCAGGAGGCTGAGATCTGAGGATCGCAGTTCAAAGCCAGCCCAGGCAGGAAAGTCTGTGAAACTCTTATTTCCAATAAACACTCAGAAAACCGGAAGTGGCATTGTGGCTCAAGCGGTAGAGTGCTCGCCTAGAGCTGAAGAGCTGAGAGACAGCGCCCAGGCTCAGAGTTCAAGCCCTACGACCTACAGACAAAAAACAAAAACAAACAAAAAATACATGGGAAAAGTCGGGGGCCAGTGGCTCCCTTCTGTAATCCTAGCTATGCAGGACGCTGAGATCTGAGGGTCATGGAAATAGGAAATAGTAGGAGTCTGTGGGCATTCCTTCCTAATAGTTTTAATTTCGTACTTAAGTATGCAAAATGACTTCCTAAGCTTCAAGAATGATTTCCTCAGCTACATATGGCAAAAATGAATAAGGCAACATAGGTGTTTTGTTGTAATGGGGAGTTAGGACCAAGGCCAAAACCACTGAGGAGATTGGCAAGATAGTGTTGAAGTGATGAATCCTGTGGTATCTCCCCTCAGTCATTCACTACTTGCTTAAGTCCTCAGTCTTCCAAAGACAGGAATGATGAGGCAGCACTTTCTCTACAACAGCACTTCTCACTCTTTTACCAAAACAATCTTCCTGAAAGATCATCAGGATTGACCTCAGTATGTTGTTTATATCCATTACCGCCACAAGCCAACAAAAATCCTGTTTGTCACTCATTTGTTCAATTACCATGCTCTGTTCCTATCATATTCTAAATTACTCTTTTCCTTTCATAGCATTGATAATTTGAGTTTCCATCATTTCTCATTCAAATATTATGTTTTTCCAACTTTCTGTGGAGTATCTTGTTGAGACTACTTTCTTGGTTAAAATTCTACAATGACTTGATCATTGATTTCAGGAACAAGTCCATCCTAATTCACTAGACTGTTTCCTCCTGCCTTTCTAATACAGCATGTTAATCTCTCCCCACTTCTGCTCATCCAGACAATAGGCCCCAATATACTAAAATCTGTAACTGTTTAAGTTCTTTATATAAAACAGTATGATATTTATTTACAAGATTATTCACAAATGAAAACATCTCTAGATTACTTAATACTTAATCAAGGCATATACTGTGTTAAGAAGCATTAGACTTTATTGTTTAGGGTAGATATAATGACAAAAATACATATACAGTTTTTAAATATATTTTGAATCTGTGGCTGGTTGGATTTATAGATGCAGAGCTAAAGAAAAAATGTCAGCCGTGATATAATAAAATGTATGTATATATGTGTGGTCTCTTTACATCTTTTATATCATTGAACTCACTCTTTTTGTTACTTGATGATAAAATGCCTACTGTGATAAGATTTTTCCACTTAATATTTTCCACTTAATATTTTCAGACATTGGTTGATGGAAGGGTGGAGAGTGAACCAAAAATGGAAAACGACATGTAAGTGCAGAAGCACTATTGTAGCTACTGGATGCGCATTGTTATACTCACCTTCTTGACCCAACACTGGCTTTTTCTTAACTATAGAAGTCCCTTCTCTCCCATCCTGCTGTCCTGTGCCCTTTCTCGCTAATTCCACATTCAAGGTTCTTGTTTCAGTGTAGTGGTTCTCAAAGAAGCCAGACTCTTGTGTAGTACTGGATTAACTTTAAAAAAACCACCACAGCCGGGTGCCGGTGGCTCACACCTGTAATTAGCTACTCAGGAGGTTAAGATCTGAGGATTGTGGCTCAAAGTCAGTCTGGGCAGAAAAGTCTGTGAGACTCTTTTCTCCAGTAAACTACTCAGAAAAAGCCCAAAGTGGTGCTGTGGCTCAAGTAGTAGAGGCTAACCTGAGCACAGAGACTCAGGGACAGCACCCAGGTCTGAGTTCAAGCCCCAGTACCAGCAAAAAAAAACAAAACAAAACAACAAACCACCACAACAACAACAGCCATCGTCACTCCATGGGTTTCCCAGAGGGACCATGTCTCTTTTCCTTACTCCTCCTTGCCTTTCTCCAACATGGTGCTGGGGACAGTGTTAGCCGAGTAAGAACAGCACCACGCATGTGGTATTCAGGTAAGGGGTAGGTTTATTCAGTAGACCTGCTGGAACCAGGACAGGTTGGCCCTCCACGACGCTGAGAAAGGCCTGGGGGAGAGCAGGGAAAAAGAGCTGGGTAAGAGAGAGAGCTGGGAAAGAGGGAGAAAAGAGCTAGAAAAGAGAGCGTCTGGGCCTGGGCTAGAGTATGGGCGGAGAAAGGTGTGGCCACATCAAATTCAGATGTGACCTCTTCCAGGTGTGCCAGTTGCCTAGGTAATACAGGTACTGGGTGGAGACTTTGCTGTGAGGAGGGTGGAGTCTGCTGACTATCCAGGAGCGGACCTTACATTAAGTATTCCAGTCTTGTTTGTAGAATGATTGCAAATCCCAGATTTTCAACCACATCGGCCACAAGTTTCAATACAAATTAAAAACAATCATCTACACTAGAGTGTGTGCGTTAAGATCTTGAAGACCAAATGCAGGCACTTAGAGGCAACCCAAGACCCCAGGTTCCCAAATAGCCAATCCAGTGGGCAGGCTCGATGGGCGTGGCTTGGAAGGCGGCGGGACAGAGGGCGTGACCTGAGACGTGTACGGGAGGCGGGGCTTACGGCGCAGCGGCCCCGCCCAGGAGCGGGCGGCTCCGGGGTGAGGGCCGGGCGGAGCTCTGGGCCTCCCCAGGCGGGCCCAGGCGCTGTGCTGTGGTCTCGGCCTCGGCCGGTGGCCCTGGTCACGGACCACGCCGCCGCGGCCGCCATCTTGCCCGCGTCCCAGCTCCGCGGCGGGAGGGGCATTGCTTCCTGGCCGGAAGCGGCTGCGCGGCGGCCGCGCCGCCACCTCAGGTCAGTGACCATGACTCGGCCACGTCTCGGTGGAAACAGTGGTGGCGCCTCCGTGAGGGGATCCGGGAGATCGCGGGGAGAGAGGCGCGCGCGGCGGCGGCGGGCCCGGGGCGTCCTCCCAGCCTCGCGTGCTCCGCGCCGAGGGATGAGGAACTCAGGGCGGCGGCCCGGCCTGGCCGGGAAGAAGCCTGCGGGCTGCCGGCGCCGCGCGGGGACCTCCTCCCGGGGATCTCCTCCCGGACGCCCCAGGCCGGGCCGGGCCTGGCAGGACTGCAGCCTCGCCGCGTCCCTGCCCCGGACGGGAGGCGCAGCCAGGCGCCGCGCGCGTGGTTCCCGGCGTTCCCGGTTCTGCTCGTCCTACTCGATGCTCCTTCAGGGCCTGTCACCGGGAGAGCTCGGTTGTTAGGGGTAATGAACGTTCCATAAGAGGACGAATGAAGCTTCTTCGCTTTGCCGAAACTGCTTGGCAAAAGAGTGCTTGTGTGGGGCTGGTGAGTTTACTGTAAGGAGAACTTGGCTGTGTACAGGGCGTCTTGAAGGTGGTGACATTTCTGGAGGCAGGTGACTCTCTGTGCTTTTTTATTATAGTGTTTTGGGCTGTCCAGTAACCACGTGGGGTGAAGGTGGGCGGTAAGTGAAATGTACACACCGGATTTCCCAGACCGCGCGTGCGCGCGCGCGCACACACACACACACACACACACACACACACACGTAAAATTTCTTAGTAATTTTGAATGGATTATATATTAATATTTTGATAGGTTGAGGGAAATGTATGTTTAATTCCATTTACTTCTACAATTTCAACATGACAGCAAGAGAATTTTAAATCAGATAGCTCACACTATAGTTCTGTCCGTGCTGTTACACATGCAGGGGTGACAGGGTTCACTTGGCTTGCTTTTGCTGATAAGCCATTAAAGGTTGTGAGCAGTTGTTAAACTTGAAGGTGAGAATCCAAATATAAACTGTAATTATTGCACTTCCTCCACAACCGACTTTTTAGTGTCTAAAGCATTTGGAACCAGGAAAAAGGGGTAGTGATACTAATGTCTGTGTGAAGAAAAGAGTTAATTTCATTTTATTGTCAAAACTTTGAGCAGGAAATGAGATAGATTCTTACTTGTATGGTCTTGGTGTGTGAAGGGACTTACTCTAGGGATCTAAGCTTGTGAGTGAGTGATTTCAGAGTTCTGTTCTCTCTTCACTAGATTTCTGTATCTAGTTAGTTGTGTGTGTTCATGGACAAAAACCCATCTATATTGTGTATTACATTTCCTTAGAAAATACATATAGACGCAGACTAACTTTGTAATGTGCATCATATGCAGAGGCATGAGACCCACTACCTTGAAATTTATAATAGTAAAAAATATGCATTTTCAGCTTGTACTGGGCTTGCATAGTAGCTAATCTAGGATTAGAAGTTGACAGACCTTTCATAAGAACCAAAATATCTGGTCTTTGCTGTAGTCCCATTTTTTTTTTTTTTTTAAGAAAAATCGTTGTTGTTGTTGTTGTTGTTGGTTCTGGGGCCTGAACTCTGGGCCTGGGTGCTGCCCGTCAGCTCTTCAGTTCAAGGGCTAGCACTCTACCACTTGAACCACAGTGCCATTTCTGGCTTTTTCTATTTATGTGGTGCTGAAGAATCGGACCCAGGGCCTCATGCATGCAAGACAAGCACTCCACCACTGAGCCACCTTCCCAGCCCTTTAGTCCCATAGTGAATGCAGATTTGTTCCTTTCTAATTTTCAAGTTCAGTGATACTGTGTGAGTTTCTGTAATATGATTTTTATGCATAGTAACAAATATTTTAAGGGCATTGGTAGCATCAGAGAAATACTGATGATTCTTTGTTGAAAGTCAGGTAATCAAATGATTTGCAAAGCTATATTAATTTTGAGCTGGGCTTTTTGTGTGTGAGTGGAATCTATAGTTTTCTTACTGTAGACCATTTGTATAAAGGGTGGAGTTGAGAGATGGAAGCCTAGACTCAAAAATGTTTATTTTAGCCAGGTGCTGGAGGCTCACACTTGTAATCCCAGCTACTCAGGAGGCTGAGATCTGAGGATCATGATTTGAAGCTAGCCTGGGCAGGAAAGTCTGTGAAACTCTTTATCTCCAATGAACTACTCAAAGCCAGAAGTGCTATTGTGGCTCAAGTAGTTGAGCACTTGCCCAACCAAGCAAAAGAATCTCAGGGACAGTGCCCAGGCCCAGAGTTCAAGCCTCAGGACCAGCAAATAAAAATAATTATTATTATTATAATAATAACTGAAGTGGGGCTGGGAAGGTGGCTCAGTATGCAGAGCGCTTGCCTTGCATGCATGAGGCCCTGGGTTCCATTCCTCAGCACCACATAAGCAAAAAGAAAAAAGCCGGAAGTGGCACTGTGGCTCAAGTGGTAGAGCACTAGCCTTGAGCTGAAGAGCTGAGGGACAGCGTCCAGGCCCAGAGTTCAGTCCTCACGACCGGACCCACCCACCCCCCACCCCCCAAAAAAAAAAAAAATAACTGTAGTGTTTATTTCAGCATTTATCTCTTAGTGAGATAAATGGGCATATCATGGGATTATCTCCAAATAAGAGGTTTTCTATTATGTGTATCTCTTTTACATTCCTAAATTTTCAAGCATTCTTAAATTTTGACTGTACATCATTACTTTAATGCAAGGATTACCAGATCAGGGACTTCACCTGCTCCTGTGTACTGCTGTGTTCCAGCATGTAGAGCAGTGATTAGAACACAGAAGGTGATCAATAAACAGATACAGAATAAACAAAGGGCAATGTTTTAGAGAAGTCCTCTTTGTGGCTCTTTTCCATCATTGGCACCAGTTATTTTGGTTCTAATAATTAAATCAGTGGAAGGATGAGGGAATTTGTAATACTTGGAAAGGGAGTTATGAGAAGCATTAGAGGAACCACTTAAGGCTGGTGTTGTATCATTTGATTTGCACCACAACTTTGATTTGAACCAAAACTTTGTTTTGGTTTGTTGGAGTCTCTTGGATTTGTTTGCCTGGGCTGGCTTTGAACCTCGATCCTCAATCTCAGTCCCCTAAGTAGTTAAGATTACAGACGTGAGCCAGTGGCGCCCAACTGTTTGTTCATTTTGAATCTAAGTTACCACCGCTTGCTAGACATTAGAAACAGAAGTTTAAATATTTGTAGCTAGCCTTTAATTTTAAAACATGAGAATAAGGCATATGACTCAAGTAGTAGAACCCTTGCCCGGCATGTACAATGAATGCCCTGGTGTAGTCCCAGTGCCATGAAAAGAAAGGAAGAAAGGGAGAAAAGCATTTTCAATTATACCAGTTTTAGTTTATTCTTAAAGTGCTAGAATATTTAGCTTTTCAAAATCCCATGTCAACACTTATTCAAAATTTATAGAATTGAAAACCAAGAGTCTCTAATGTTCAGTGAATTCATTTTTCCAAAAGGGTATTATGTGTGTACTGCTGGTCATACTAGGATGATTTTAGATAAAACACAATTCAGCATTTTTTGATAATTATATATTTGTTTTCTTAAATGTTAGAAAAGATATAAGTACACAATACCCATGATTTATGGACATCATAATTAAAGTTAATTTTCAGATTTAAAGAATGTATCCCTTTAAAGAAAGACATAAAAATTCAAGTGGTACCTGAATGACTGAGATTATTTAGGAAATACTAATTCAGTCCAGCTCATTTATTCTATAGATGAGAAGACCTTGCATAACCAGTAGCAGAGTGAGGAATTCAGATTTACTCAGTACATTACACTATTTATGCAATTATTCAAGATATTTTTGTTAACATTGAAGAAGAGGGCTGGGAATGTGGCTTAGTGGTAGAGTGCTTGCCTGGCATGCGTGAAGCCATGGGTTTGATTCCTCAGTACCACATAAAAAGAAAAAGCTGAAAGTGGCAATGTGGCTCAAGTATTAGAGCTCAGGGACAGATCTTGGGCCCTGAGTTCATGCCCTAGGAACAGTTCACCTCCAAAAAAAAAAAAATGGAAGAAACCTGTGTTAATTTCTTTTTGTACTCTAAATTTGTATTGTCCATATACTGGCTACATGTGGCTATTTATATTAAGATGAGTTAGAAGTAAATAAAGTTTAAAATTTGAGCCAGTCATACTTATAATGTTCAGTAGCCACATGTGGCTGAGAATTCCCATATTAACACAGATATGTGTTATTCTGTCATAGAAGAAAGTTCTGTTGGGCAATGCTGCTCTGACTATTGCTTGGGAACCTGATTCATAATGTTTTTTTTTCTCTTCTTCAAAGGAATGGTAATTATAAATTTACTTACGTCATTGATGTTATTATAATCCACGAGGTTAAGTTGAAGGTATTAATAATGGTACAATTAAGATAATTGATCATGGGAAATAAAACCAGGATGGGGTTCTCAGATTCATATTAGTTCATTTTGTTAGAGGAAGTAGTTGCTCTCTTTTCTCCTTTTTTTTATTTATTATTTTATTTTATTTTTTTGTGAACACACTGTACAGAGGGGTTACAATTACATGGGCAGGATAATGCATACATTTCTTATCAAGCATTGCAGCCTCCTCCTTTGTTTAACCTTCACATCCCTTCCCAGCCTCCACCCCCACCCAATCCTCCCCGCCTCCCTCCTCTCCCCCACCAACATTGTAGAGCTCGTTTTCGACATGACAACTTGCACTTCTCATTGTTGCAACAGGTCCACCTGTATCCTTAAACGACTTGTTTTTCCCCATCTCCTCTACAAGTTATACTGACATCAAATATAGTGAAAGCGGGGGTTATACTGTGGGGGAGGGACATACAAAGCAACAAATGAATAATCTTATAAATGCGTTAGAAACAAATGCATGAAAGAAAAAAACATTAAAATACATATCTAAGGGTTCCTTTTCCTAACATCACATTATCTGACCTTTTCCGCTTGACTCATACATATACTAGATATTGCAAATAAGGGAAACCATGGGACCTATGTTTCTTTGGGCCTGGCTTACTTCACTTACTATAATTTTTTCCAAGTTTTTCCATTTCCTAACAAATGGGGCAATGTCATTCTTTCTGATGGGAGGCATAGAATTCCATTGTGTATATATACCACATTTTCTTGTTGCATTCATCTACTGAGGGGCATCTGGGCTGGTTCCATATCTTAGCTATGGTAAATAATGCTGCAATAAACATAGTTGTGCTGGTAGCTTTAGTGTGGTCTTGTTTGTAAACATTAGGGTAAATGCCCAAAAGTGGGATTGCTGGGTCATAGGGGAGCTCTATGTGGAGTCTTTTGAGGAACCTCCATACTGCTTTCCAAAGTGGTTGAACAAGTTTACATTCCCACCAACAATGAAGTAAGGTTCCCTTCTGTCCACATCCCCTCCAGCATCTGTTGTTGTTAGAGTTCTTGATTTTTGCCATTCCAACTGGAGTGAGGTGGTATCTCAATGTTGTTTTGATTTGCATTTCTTTTATGGCTAGGGATGTTGAGCATTTCTTCATGTGTCTATTGGCCATCCTTCTTTCTTCTTCAGAGAAGTTTCTCTTTAAGTCTTTAGCCCACTTATTTATTGGGCAGTTGTTTCTTTGAGGATTTGTTGTTATTATAATCCCCGAGGTTAAGTTGAAGGTATTAATAATGGTACAATTAAGATAATTGATCATGGGAAATAAAACCAGGATGGGGTTCTCAGATTCATATTAGTTCGTTTTGTTAGAGGAAGTAGTTGCTCTCTTTTCTCCTTTTTTTTTTAATCAGTAAATATCATCTTGAATTCATGCGTGATGGAGAGAAGAAATTCAAACATACTTTATTTTTTAAAATAAGTTTTTTATTGTGAAAATACCATACAGAGGGATTACAGTTACATGAGCAAGGGGATGAGTACAGTTCTTATCCAGCATTGTTGCCTCCTCCTTTGTTTTTCCCCTTTCAAACATACTTTAAAAACAGTGTTTGTACAGAGCATTTCTTGATTTCTAAGTATTTTATTCAATGTAATCATGTTTTATTAAATTTTAAACTTTTCTGTTTTTAAACACTTGCAGTGAATGGACCAGACTGGACTCTCTGAGCACATTAATAAACATGAGTGGTACCAAACCTGACATTTTGTGGGCACCGCACCAGGTTGATAGATTTGTTGTATGTGACTCAGAATTGAGCCTTTATCATGTGGAATCTACTGTGAATTCAGAACTCAAAGCTGGATCTTTGCGTTTATCTGAAGACTCTGCAGCTACATTATTATCAATAAATTCAGATACACCTTATATGAAATGCGTTGCATGGTATCTCAATTATGATCCGGAATGTCTCTTAGCAGTTGGACAAGCAAATGGTCGAGTTGTACTTACAAGTCTTGGTCAAGATCATAATTCAAAGTTCAAAGATTTAATAGGAAAAGAATTTGTTCCAAAACATGCACGGCAATGCAATACCCTTGCATGGAATCCACTGGACAGTAACTGGCTTGCTGCAGGTCTAGATAAACACAGAGCTGACTTTTCAGTGCTAATATGGGATATTTGCAGCAAATACACTCCTGATATTGTTCCCATGGAGAAAGTGAGGCTTTCAGCAGGTGAGACTGAAACATCATTATTAGTAACAAAACCTCTTTATGAATTAGGACAGAATGATGCTTGTCTTTCTCTCTGTTGGCTTCCACGAGACCAGAAACTTCTGCTTGCTGGTATGCATCGTAACCTAGCCATATTTGATCTTCGGAATACTAGCCAAAAGATGTTTGTAAATACAAAAGCTGTTCAGGGGGTGACAGTAGACCCATACTTTCATGATCGTGTTGCTTCCTTCTATGAAGGCCAGGTTGCAATATGGGATCTTAGAAAATTTGAGAAGCCAGTTTTGACTTTGACTGAGCAACCAAAGCCCTTAACCAAAGTAGCATGGTGTCCAACTAGGACTGGTCTGCTTGCCACTTTAACAAGGGATAGCAATATTATTCGGTTATATGATATGCAGCATACACCCACTCCCATTGGGGATGAAACTGAGCCTACAATAATTGAAAGAAGTGTGCAACCTTGTGACAATTACATTGCTTCCTTTGCATGGCACCCAACGAGTCAAAATCGAATGATAGTTGTAACTCCTAACCGAACAATGTCTGACTTCACTGTTTTTGAAAGGATATCTCTTGCCTGGAGCCCAATTACATCATTAATGTGGGCTTGTGGTCGTCATTTGTATGAATGTGCAGAAGAAGAAAATGACAATTCTTTAGAAAAAGATATAGCAACAAAAATGCGCCTCCGGGCTTTATCAAGGTATGGACTTGATACAGAGCAGGTGTGGAGAAACTACATTTTGGCTGGAAATGAAGATCCACAGCTCAAGTCACTCTGGTATACTCTGCACTATATCCTTTGTGGCTTGAATATTCTGAGATAAACTAGATAGAAATATCCTTGTGTTTGCTGAAAGGCCAGATTTTACATATACTGAATATAGGTTACATAATACTAAAATTATGACGTAAAATTGTTCAGAACTTGAAAAACTGCTTTGTAGATTGTATAGGAGGAAAAATGTGTACCTTATTGGATACCTGTTATCAATAAGCTCCTAGTCAGAGTAAATTTAACTTTGTAAGATTTTATTATGCATCAGTGTATTTCCTATACACTTAAATACTTATGAAACAGTATACAGAAGACATGGATCAAAAATCTCCAGGAAACAAAGGATCATTGGTTTACGCAGGAATTAAATCAATAGTAAAGTCATCTTTGGGTAAGAAAATCCATTCTATTTTTTCAAGTATGTTTGTAATTTTCATACTAATATTGTGTCCTTCATTTGGTTGAAATTATGACAGTTATTTCAGAATTATGAATATAAAAACCCTTTGTCTTTTTTTGGTTTCTGGTCAGATATTTTAGGGAATTGTCCATTTATATGCTTAATTTCCTTTTTGGAAAGGTCTTATGCAAGATGATTTGTATGCTGCTGATTGTTACTTTGGATTTTATCATTGCATTTTTGCTCTCATAAATTATGTCAGGCATGGTGGTATGCCTATAATCCCAGCTACTTGGAAGGTAGAGAGTTCCAGTTGTGGTTTGAAGCCATGCTAGGCCAAAAGTCTGTGAGAACCTATCTCAGCAAACAAGCTGGGCATAGTGGTGCGTATCTGTAATTCTAGCTTAACTGGAGGCATAGGTAAGAGGATTGAGGTCTGAGGCTGACCTGAGCAAACACACAGGACCCTATCTAAAGATTTCCTGAGAACAAAAAGGGATGGGAGTATAACTCAAATGGTAAAATAGCTTGCCTAGGAAGTTCAAGCCCTCATGCCATCCAAACAAAATACCAAAAAACCTATAGAAACCTAAATTACAGAGCCAGGAATAAGGGTGTATTCCTGTAACCCCAGCTAGTTGGGAGATAGAGATTGTATTGCATTTCAAGGCCAGTCAAGCAAAAGTTAAACCCTATCTTTTATTTTTTAAATTGATATTTAGTTGAATTTTTCTTTTTTTCCTATTTTTTATTGTGAAGGTGATATACAGAGGTGATATACAGTTATATAAGTAAAGTAATAAGCACATTTCTTGTCAAATTTGTTACCCCTTCCCTCATTTTTCTCCTACTTTCCCTTCCATCCAACGCTCCTCCCCAAGTTGTACAGATCATTCCAACATACTGTCTTGTGTATATTGTTGTTGCATTGGTTCCCCCTTGTCCTTTGTCTCACCATTCTGTTGTTCCTCTTCCCTTCCCTAATTCAAATAAATGTATATACAATACCAGGGTATCAAAATCAAATACAGTGACAACAGGGGATATACCATAGGGAGAAGAACATACAAAAAAAAAAACAAAAAAATCATAGTATATTAAAAACAACAACAACCAAGAAAAACCCCTTGTGTCCATGTCTTGGAGTTCATGTTACTTAGCATCATTTTATATGGTCATATGTACATAGCTATTGAGCTATTCTACTCATTTGCTAAGATTATCCTAGACACACACTAATTATTGCAAATAAGGGAAACCATGGGACCTATGTTTCTTTGGGTCTGCCTTACTTCGCTTAATAAGATATTTATTCCAAGTCTTTCCATTTCCTTACAAGTGGGGTGGTTGGTGTCATTCTTTCTGATGGAAGCATGGAATTCCATTATATATATATATATATATATATATGTATATATATATATATATATACATTATATATATATCACATTTTCTTGATCTATTCATCTACTGAGGGACATCTGGGTTTGTTCCATATCTTAGCTATGTAAACCCTATCTTAAAAAGTTCGCATATGATTAAAAGTCATACTTTAATGATATATTTAAAACCACAGTAACATTGTGTTTCTTCATTTATAGCCATAGCATAGTCATTGAACTATGAAATGATCTCTGAGCAACCAAAATAAAATTCTTTAAAGTGATAATAGTTTAAAAATAAGTGATTGCGTATTTAGTTTAAAAGTAAGTGATTGTATATTTAGGATACACAGGATTGTGGGTTCAATTCATAACTCTAAAAATTGGGTTGTAAATGTAGTTCAGTATAGAGAGCATACCCTGGGTTCAATTACACACACACACAGAGGTAATTTCAATTTCCAGAATTTTATAAATAACTCATATTGAAACTTTTCCAGAAAGCAATCAGATACAATTTAAAATATGTATTAATATGAAGCCAGGCACTGGTGGCTTATGCCTATTATCCTAGCTACTCAGGAGGCTGAGACCTGGGGATTGTAGTTTGAAGCTAGATGGGGCAGGAAAGTTTTTGAAACTTATCTCCAGTTAACCACCTGGAAGTAGAGATGTGGCTCAAGTAATAGAATACTAGCCTTGAATGAAAAAGCTCAGAGATAGCACCTGGGCCCTAAGTTCAAAAGCCAGGACTGGCACAAAAAAAATTTAAAAAAAAACACTAACATGAATAATTTTAGGTTTATGACAACCTGTCATCAACATAATCAAAAAATATTTGTAAGTATGATTTAGATACAGTGAGAGTTTAGGCTTAAGCCATGAACTATATTCTTTTCAAGTATATAGACTAAGTAAATTTTTTAAAATGTATGTTTGTGTAGTCTTATGTGAAATTCTTAGTTTTGTTTATGTATAACCCTGTGTTACCTTCTGCAGCCTGTCTGAAGCTAGTCAATTTTGGACATTGTATTAGATTACAGTAGCATCATTTGCATGGGTGAGAAATCTGGTCACAGCCCAGTTGGGCCCTATGCTCAGAGTCTAACAAGACTAATAAAGATGTTTTCTAAGCTGTATTTCTTTTCAGACCTGAGTATGTTTTCATATGAATTTGGTTGATGGCAGAATTCAACAACCATAGATAGATAAAGTTTGTAGGAATGAGATCTTGAACACAAATTTGGCTTAAAATAATGTAGTGCACATCTCTATATTAACCATAGGGAAAGAGGAGAAAGGACATGATACTTAGGATGAATGAGTTGGGTGACCAGAGGCTAAATGGCTGAAGATTTCTTGCAGTTTCAGGAGTAAGACAGCCATTTTTGTTTGTTTGTTCTATGGCCAGGTGATATCCTAATCTCCTTCGTGGCTGTTCCAAGTTTCTTGTCAAAGGGCCTTCTCAGAGACTGTGTCACCAACATGGTAGCTTCTACTTCTTCAGGTCTCCTTCACAGAGATCTCCTGTTACTTCTCTTACTTTTAGATCCTCTTAAAGTCAAGCCTATTCACAATAATCTCCCACTAATTCAAAGTTAGATAAGTACTCTGAGTTACATCTGCAAAATTATTTCACTCGTGCTGTATTTTATGGTGTAGAAGTAAGTCACAGGTTTTCCCTGGTATAAAGAGACAAGGTTTATACAGAGGTACAGTTACCAAGAAGTATAAATCATGGAGACTTACTTGCATTTCTGCCTGTAACTATCAAATTGAGTTAAGAATGATACAAACCTATTTAGGGCTTAGGTTGTGGCTCAAGTGGTAGAGCACCTGGCTAGCAAACATGAGGCTCTGAGTTTAAATCCCAATACTGACCAAAAAAACCTTACTTACAAAGTTTGCAAAGAACATAGTTAACTTATTATCTTTTCACTTTAGTAATTACCTTAAACTTTCAAAGTACATTGAGGCCTGTGATCCCATTTTTTCATGTGTTTGTACTGTCTTGTAGCATTTAACAATATGGTCAACAGAGATGGTCCATCTTTCTCCTATTGTATGACTGCACAGATATAGAAGAGAAGATAGAGAAAGGTGAAAGAAGTCAAGACCATTTCTGGATCTTGGGCAGTAAAGATTCATTGTAAACACAACAGTCATAAGAAGCCAGGCATGGTAATGCACATGTATAATCCCAACACTCAGGGGAAAGCAACAGGGAAGATTGGGTTTAGTGAGTTGCAAAGTACATCATCATGCAGGGCACCTTGTCTGTTTTGTTTGCAAGGAATCTCTTCAGCTTAATATTCAGTAGAAGTTCCCTTGACCTCTTCCTTCTCTTGTTTCAGTGAGCAAAGAGATTACTGAAAGTAAATTAATGAATAAAATATGGGACTGTAAGTTAAAAGCAATATGTAGGAAATAGAGGAAATGAGTTGTGAGTTAGGTAAGGTAGTAGATACATGTATTTATATTAGAATGTCAGGGAAGCTTCTCTGAAGCAGGGATTCAGTCCATCTGAGCATTCACTCTGATTCTCTTAGCTGTTTGCTAACCCAGTTATTTTATGTAGAAACACGTAAAATTTTATTTGTGGCATATGCCATTTTTATGCTATCATAAAATTGTGGTCATGAAGTTTAATATTTTAAATATATTGGTGAAATATGTCCATGTAAAACTGAAAATAAATGAAACAGAAAATGTTTTCTCTTTTTAGGAATGGTGGAAAGCAGCAGACATAATTGGAGTGGGTTGGATAAGCAAGCTGATATTCAGAATTTAAATGAAGAGAGAATCTTAGCTTTGCAGCTTTGTGGGTGGATAAAGAAAGGAACGGATGTAGATGTGGGGCCATTTTTGAACTCTCTTGTACAAGAAGGGGAATGGGAGAGAGCCGCTGCTGTGGCATTGTTCAACTTGGATATCCGACGAGCAATCCAAATCCTGAATGAAGGGGCATCTTCAGAAAAAGGTATTAGGTTATGTTCTAAGAATTGGCAATATGTAGAATCCTTTAAAGACACTGATCATTTTCACATATCTGTTTCATCAGTTAATATTTTTATATGTTTTTGTTAAAACCAGAATAGTACTATATCACAGCAAATGTTAGCCTATTGCTTTTATTCATATACAAATTTAGGTCTATAAAACTAAAGATGTAAATGTCATTTTAATAATATGAGAAGTTTTCTAATTTTGTAATGTTTTTCTTTTTTAGGCAGTTAATATATGCTAAAAAATACTTAAAGATTTAGGATTACCTTAGTTTGTAAGTGCTTTTTTGACACACATTTAGATGTTTTCAGTGTTTTCTTTCTCTATTTCGTGGTTGTTGACTGACTCTTAGAAAACTAAGTGACACTTCTAAATTTAGATCAATAAATTAAAGGTATGTAAAAACATACTTTGGTCTGCAGAGATGCTATTGCTTGAATCTAGTAATAGAAACATATTCCATGTAATATTTTTCTTAAAATAAATGTGATTTTTTTTCCTTTCCTTTTTTTTTTTGCTTTAGCATTTTTACCAGAGGATCTCTAAAAATCAAATCTTAATCTAAAGCTTCAGGATATTTTCTTATCAGAACCATTTTCAAATAAAAACATACATACTTGCACTTTAAGAATTGAAAACGATAATGTTTTACCCAGATTGGCATCTTTTCCTTTTCATTTGCTCTAACAAAAGCCTTTTCTCTTTGAGAATGTAGCAGATGACATGTGCCAATGGGAAAAAAGAATTAATGTTTAATTTCTAGGATTCCATTTCTAGACAGACACTGTAGCTCAGTCGTAAGTAGAGTGCTCTGTATCTGGAAAATTTGGCAGTAGATTTAAACACCCATATTACAGTAAAAAGAGTCATTCTAGTGACTTTAAAAACTTGATTAAGGACTGAAGAAAAGACTTGAGTTAAACATTCCACTTAGAAATGAATTATTCTACATGGAGCCCAAAGAGATTTCTTCCCTAATTTTTATGTTTTATTTTTAAAGACAATGGAGAAGGTAAAGGAGGTAATAAACACAAAGTAACTTGTGGAAAATATTTGTAAAAATGATAGTGAGTCTGTTAAAAACATAAATCGAGAGATGCCAGTTTATTTAGAAAAGAATTATTATAATCAAGTAACAGAGTAAAGAACCCATGGGGTGGTAGATGCCTGTAAAAACCCCACCTAGTTAGGAAACAGAGGTAGGTGTTTTGCAGTTCCAGACCTATCTAAGAAAACTAAAGCAAATATGACTAATGGACAGACATAGCACAATATGTAGTATATTTGGGTTCAAAACTGCAGTACCAAAAAAGAAGAGGTAGAGGAGAAAAACAGTAAGAACACTGTAATGAATATAAAAAATACTTAGAAAAAGTTTAACTTACCTTTTCTCTTTTGAAGCTAAACTTCCATTAGCAGCTAGAGAGCTTACGGCCATATTAGAATCTCCCTAGCAGCCTTATAAACTATGAATTTTTAAAACACTATCATTAATAGTTAATAAATGCCTTGATGCAAATACATGTAAATCCAATTCTGTGAAAATTCTGATAGTTCATTTTGTCCTAAAAATTACAAATATGCAATAATTGAAATACTGAAATATTTTTGTACTCTGTGGTTGACACTGATATACCTAAGTGAGTATGTTATATATAGGAAAATAATTTCTAAAATAACAGTCCTGAGATGCAATAGTACTTACTATCAGTGCTTTGAAATAGCTCAGCATAAATGAGCTTATTGGTATAGTTGGCAGTGATCCTGATAGGTAGATTACTTTTCTTCATTTAGCTACCAAATAATAACATATTGTATAAGAAACTGCCTGTGAAACTGCTTGAAAATTAAAAGACATATTGCTTCACAGGATTTGCAAATATGCGAACGAGCTATTTGCAAGAGTGGAAAGTTTTTCATTACAGTCATCAACTTTCCAGTTAAAATCAAAACCCTTATTCTAGTAAGCTCATTTTTCCAGAGGTAAAATTCACCTCCTAATTTCTGTGCTTTTAAAGAATATTGGAAGCAGGTGGTAAGTTTTGATCACTTTGATTAGCTGGCTATTTTTAATATGCAGGAGATCTGAATCTCAATGTGGTAGCAATGGCTTTATCAGGTTATACGGATGAGAAGAACTCCCTTTGGAGAGAAATGTGCAGTACTCTACGATTACAACTAAACAACCCATATCTATGTGTCATGTTTGCATTTCTGACAAGTGAAACAGGATCTTATGATGGAGTTTTGGTAAGCTAATTTGTTTCCCAAGATCATCCTTACAATTAAGGTTGGAGTTTTTAATTGTTAAAATTTTCAAATGCTAAAATATTCAAATGTTTTTATAGTTTGATATATTTCAGTATATTATAATTTTACATAATATAGATGTGAAACTATGGTTTAAAATATAATGTTAAGCCAGGTGGCCAGTGGCCCATACCTGTAATCCTAGCTACTCAGGAGGCTGAGACCTGAGAATCATGATTCAAAGCCAGCCCAGGCAGGAAAGTCCATGAGACTCTTATCTACAATTAACCACCAGGAAACTGGAAGTGGTGCTGTGGCTCAAATGGTAGAGTGCTTGCCTTAAGCTGAAGAGCTGAGGGACAGCGCCCAGACTTGTTCAAGACCCATGACCAACCAAAAAAATTAAAAAAAAAAAAAATATATATATATATATATATAATTTTAAACTATAACTTTAAATATCCAACTTTGAAATTTTTTGAGCCTTTCTGTTGAGTGTTATTATCAAGCTAGAGACTAATGGATATCAAACTGGGTTTACTTTTATATAATTTTGTTAATATAGTTTACAGGTATGGAAAGAATATGTTATTCTTTAGCTTAGGAACTGACCTCCAAAAATCAACTATATAAACAATATATTTGCTGTTAAAATATGCAGTGTGTGTGTGTGCATGTGTGTGTGTGCATGCGCATATGTGTTCATGCATGTATATGTTTGGACTATGTACTTTGGGCTAAGTAAACAAGTTGTGATTGATGGGTCACTTTTGCTTTTTGGTCAGTATGGCCACATCAACTTTTCTGAGTGCACATTTGTCATTTTCAGACATGTTCCTGTTTGGAAAATAAATTATATGATTGTAGTACCTGTATTGGCTTGTTTAATTATTTGATAGTTTTATTATTTTTTTTCCTCTTCTGCTTTAGCCACCTATGGCCACATTACACATAGCTTTATTACAAAGTGAGGAATGAAATGAGATTTGCTTAGTGGGTTTCATTTGTTGGGTTTTAGGCCACACATTAGTGATGTACATTTGTACCACTGGACTTTTTTTTCTAGTAATAAGGACTTTCTATATTGTTCTATATTATTTCATGTTTGCTAAAAAATTATTAAGTATTTCTTGTAAAATATACACTGTTGATTAATTGATAAAATGTCAATCCCTAAGAATTTGTAAAACATTTTATTGGGGTATCTTGTTGAAATTTTTTAACTCACTACTTCTTTTGTTAACAGAAGACAAATGTATCTTGAAGAGATAAAATGATACTTTCAGAAGGTGGTAGAGAATGATGGAGACTAGAAAAAGCAGTGAGGTGATAGAGAAGTAAATTGGTTTAATATTAAATTTCTGTATTTTAAGTTAAATGACCTGTAAAAAACATTTTTCCTTTCTTATACCCAAAAGTGATAGCTAAGAAGGAAAGTCATATAGCCAGGCTATTTCAAGAATATATTTAAATATATTTAATGTGTGTATAACTACTGTTATTAGCTTGCTAATGTTAAATTGCAAAGATAGTGAAAAGTACTAAATTGGGAAGTCAGATAAAAGACCTGAGTCCCTGCTCTACTACAGTTACCTTAGCCATCCATTTTTTTATTGTATTTTTGATATCTAGGTTTTTCACTTACGAAATGTGAGATACTATTTGTATCCCTTTCCAAATTGTAGTACATGTAATTGAACTTAAGAGTTTATTCCTGTTTGGTGGTAGAATCATATTTTATAATTGAGTTGTAGGGCTTGAACTCAGGGCCTAGGTGCTGTCACTGAGCCTCTTTGTGCTCAGAGCTAGCACTCCTCCACTTGAGCCACAGTGCCACTTCCAGTTTTTGAGCAGTTATAGGAGATAAGAGTCTCCCAGGGACTTTTCTGCCCTGGCTGGCTTTGAATCTCAATCATCAGATCTCAGCCTTCTTGAGTACCTAGGATTACAAGCGTGAGCCACTGGCACCCAGCTTAAGGATCTTTTAAAGAAGAAAACTAGAAAACTATCTCATAAAATGGTGTCATTGGAAATTATATCCATTTGCCATGTTTTCATTATTTTTTTACTAATCATAAAATTAATTGGACCACCCCAAATTTATAGCAAACGTTTTTCAAGCTAATGTTTTACAGTATTGACAAATATGTACAAATTGATCACAGTGCTGCTGAAAATTTTACAATGGACCATGTATGTAACACCATTTTATTTTACACCCTAATGTATTTAGAGTTATGAATTTTAAAACCTGGTTAATTACTTTATATTTATAAAGATGTGTTGCCATTCTTTCTAACTTCTGTACTGGTATACCCAGTTCACAAAATTTCTAGACTTGTGTTTAACTTAGCCAGTTTCCTAGTTTTCCTGAAATTAACTTTTATGATAGAATTATTGTATGAATCTTAGTTGATATGATATACATCAGCTACATAATTGAACAGGCTTTTTTCTAAACTAAATTTGGTCCATGTTTGGAAAGTAAATCTTTACTTTCAAGGACAATACCCTAGTGTGAGTTTCCTGACAGTTACAGCAGAAAAGGCAATCAATGACTCTTCCAACTTAGATACAATAATTTTTTAATACATTTGAAAATATCTACAAAAATTTAAAACTTGCAACATGTAAATTTTAACTCCTGGCCTTTTCTATTTCTAGTATGAAAACAGAGTTGCAGTACGGGACAGAGTGGCATTTGCTTGTAAATTCCTCAGTGATGCTCAGGTAAGAACTGCTTTAATTCCATGTGTTAGGCAAATAATATTATCAATTAGTTTGAGAATTTTAATTTTTATGCACCTCTGAAGTTTGCATATAAACTAAGAAGTAAGGTAATTTATTTGATATATTCTGTAAACATCTATCATAACTAAATATTCTGCTTAGAATGTTGATTTAATACTGTTTTTGCTGTTAGTAAAATGCTTAGTTAGCAGATAAAAATGTTAAACTCACTTATTTTCAGTATAGAAAACAGTAACTGCTGTTAGTGGAGTGTGAGCAATGCACATAACAGCACTACTACTACTTTAATAATGATGAAAGTCAGGGGGAGTACTGAGGAATCTTGACTGGAATTTGAGATGGGATATAGTCAGGAAGAACATAAAGGAAATATTTGTAGTGGTGATTTTGAAGTTTTCTTACAGCACAGATTTTCTGGTTTTATATACCACTATGATAGATAATATGAACTTTACAGAAAAATGAAAACATTTCTCTCTCTCTCTCTCTCTCTCCCTCTCTCTCTTCCTCTCCCTCTCTCTCTTCTTCTCCCTCTCTCTCTCCCTCTCTTTCTTTCTCTTTTTAATTGGTTGTAGGGATTGAGCTTGGGTGCTGGGTACTGTTCCTGAGCTTTTTTACCCAAGGCAAGTGCCCTAACACTTTGAGCTACAGTGCCAGTGCCACTTCTGCTTTTCTTCTGGTTAATTGGAGTTAAGAGTCTCATGGACTTTCCAGCCTGGGCTGGATTTGAACCACAATTATCAGATCTCAGCCTCCTGAATAGTTAGCATTACAGGCTTGAGGCAGCAGCACCTGGCTACATTTCTCTTTAAGATAGTAAACCATTTGCGGTATTTTTGTTGAATAATTGTCAACATAGAAAATGTCTTACTTTAAAAAATTATTTTAAATGATGTGGATCTGACATTGAAATGTGTAATAGATGGCGTTAAGAGAGTTTGGTCATGGGCTTTTGTTTCAAAATGTTTCCATTAGGAATGAAATTGTCCCAAATGTAGTAGTTTTCAAGTGAAAATATTACTTTAGAGAAATCATTTTGAATTTTTCCAGTTAAATAGATACATTGAAAAGTTGACCAATGAAATGAAAGAGGCTGGAAATTTGGAAGGCATTTTGCTTACAGGCCTTACTAAAGATGGAGTGGACTTAATGGAGAGTTATGTGGACAGAACTGGGGATGTTCAGACAGCAAGTTACTGCATGTTGCAGGTTAGTGAATTTTCAAAACTGGTTAAAAAAAATCTTAAACCACATTCTTCCTGCTGTATTCCTTGAGGGAAAAGTGAGCCTACACTTGTGTTTATTTAGGACCTTTTAAAGGTATTTAATTTTGACATAGTCAGTTGATCTACTTGTCTTACATTACTGTTTTGTCCTTAAGTTGCCTCATTGAGTTGTCCAAGTTTTGCCTTTTACTCTGAGAGGTACCAGTTTTCACTGAACCTGAACTTTTTCATACCATGCTCAAATAGAACCAAGAAATATATTCATGTTTTCCAATTGTTGACAGACATCTATCCTTTCTCTGATCTGAATTAGTCTTATGTTAACTTAACTCAGTTTCCCATTACTTTCATGAGGATGATTTTCTCCTATTTTTTTTCCCTTAGTTTTTGCTGCCCAGTAGAACTAGAGTGACTAAAACCAGAGTTCTGACAAAAGTTGACTTTTTGTTGGAAACATGATAGTAATTCAAAGTATTTCCCTTAGATTTCCTAACCCCTACAGCTAATCTTATCCTTTTATCTATCAGTGCTTCCTCTTTCCTGCCTTGTTTTTGTGGCAGCTGAAAGCCTGAGGTGTACTTAGGTAAGCTTAACAAAATGGCCAAAATACTTCCTTCCTGGTCCTTATATTTTGTTACTGTAAAACTGTGGAAGGCCAAGTCCTTCTAATTTGGTCATACTCTAAAATGTTTCCTCTGAAAATCATGTTAGAACTTGTTTTAGGTTTTATTGGGGTAGGTCTGAGAAAGACTTTCAACTATGAATAACCAAATTCTTCCATAATTTATCCTTATGGTCATGGAAAGATAGGGAAGAGATTGAAGATATCTGGTTTTTCTTTGTTTTTTTTAAAAAAATTATTCTAAGGGCCAGGAATGTGGCTTAGTGATAGAATGCTTGCTTAGCATATACGAAGTCTTGGGTATGATTCCTTAGTACCACATAAACAGAGAAAGCCAGAAGTAGTAGTATGGCCCAAGTGATAGATCCTTGAGCAAATAAAGCTCAGGGACAGTGCCCAGGTTCTGAGTTCAAGCCCCAGGACTGCAAAAAAAAAAAAAAAATGCTGGAATTGTGTGCTACTTTAGTACTTCTGCCTAGTGGCCATATTTAAGACTGAAGTAGATACCTACTTTTTTTTTTTTTTTTTTTAAGAAATAAGATTGTTGACTTGAGTTTTTCACATGTCCTTTTACCCAAATTTAAACTCTGGTAATTGGAATGAATAATTAGTTTAATAGATGAAAGACATACTCTTTTGAAGTAAACCTCTAATGATAGATTATCTTTATTAGCTGTTAAAAGTTTCCTTTTCTCTAGGCAAAATATTTAACCAAGTTTCCTTTGATAGTTTTTTTTTGTCTTTCCTTCAAGTAGTATTATGAAAACTGGGATTCAAACCAAAGTCCTAATTGTAACGGGAGGTAGACTTCCTCTGCTTTCCTCCACCTTGTAAAGTATAGGAGGATATCCAGATGAGCTATAAGCCATCTGTAAAACCCAAAACAAGCATAGATGAAATGTGGGACGTCAGTGCTTAAGAAAAACAAACTTGCTTTTCAGTATGGGTTCTATGCAGAAGAACTAAGAAAATTTTTGATTTGGTTTAGGCTTTCTTTTTTTTTTTTTTTTTTTTGGTCGGCCGTGGGGCTTGAACTCTGGGCCTGGGCACTGACCTTCAGCTCAAGGCGAGCGCTCTACCACTTGAGCTACAGTGCCACTTCCGGTTTTCTGGTGGTTTATTGGAGATAGGAGTCTCACAGTCTCTCCTGCCTGGGCTGGCTTTGAACCGCAATCCTCAGATCTCAGCCTCCTGAGTAGCTAGGATTACAGGCGTGAGCCACCAGCACCCGGCTTAGACTTTCTTATTTTTTAAGACAACAACTATATGTTTTAATTAAAGGCAAAAGAAAGAATGAATAGATTTAACTTACAGATAATAGGTGTTCAGATAGATAAAACAGTTAACAAAGTTTGTGAACCTGGAGGTTTATGGAAGTGAAACAAAAGAATTTATATCATTTATACCATTGTTTATTGCCTTCAACCAGGAAGGTGAATTGTTTTCTCTTGGCTCCTAAATTAACAAGTATGATATGTATAACACATGTTTATATCGTTAATGAAAATCAGTTTAAGGTAAAGTTAATGGAGTTTCATTACTTTATCTGGAGTGTTATTAGAAGCCAACTTTGGGAAGAAAGGAGGACTGTTTTTTTGTGACTCATACATCATGCAAAATACTCTTGTTTTAAGCCAAGATACTTTAAACAATTGAAATAATTCTTGGTTTATTTTTAGGGTTCACCTCTAGATGTTCTTAAAGATGAAAGGGTTCAATACTGGATTGAGAATTACAGAAATTTATTAGATGCCTGGAGGTTTTGGCACAAACGAGCTGAATTTGATATTCACAGGAGTAAATTGGACCCTAGTTCTAAGCCTTTAGCACAAGTAAGTACATGATTTTAGATCAGATTAAATAAAATGGTTACCTTTAATTTAGTGAACTATTATTACTTGTGCTATTACTTTTGTTAATTGGCTAGTCTTGATTGAACATTGCTCTTCCATTTTTGATCTTCCATTATTTTTTATTCCACCTTTCCTAAGACTTATAGGTAGCTTGAGTCTCATATATAAACCAGAGATGGCTCAGAGGATCTTATGAAAGTATAAATCCTAAGTCTCGTTGAAGTTATACAGTATTTGCAAAGTCCTTTCAGAATTTAAACTAGTACATAATCTTAGAACCTCCATCTGTTTATTGTTTTTATGTATGATTTTGGGCAGTAGAGTAGGATTTGGGATTTTTTTAAAAAAAATTAACAGCATACACATATTTATGTGTTTATTTGCACATGGAATTTTTTTCTTTTAGGATTAGATGTAAAAAGATTATGAATTATCACATAAGATCACTGTATTAGTTAAGACATTAAAATGTAGGTTATCCTCAACTTGAGCACTGGATGGTGCTATTTTCTTATTTTAGGAAATTGAAATTTTAGTATGCTCATATTGAAACAACCAGGTATTGGTAAAACAGTATTATGTTAAAATGTATGTAACTATCTATATAAGTGATTAAGAGCTGATGAGTTGACAAATGATCAGCTTTATTTGCTATTACTTTCAAATTTTAACAAACAGTACAAAATTCTTGTTTTCTTTTTATCTTTGAAACAAAACATTCTCTTTGTAGGGAAATTTTGTTCAAATTATATCACTGAACTTTAGCTGGTATGTTTTGTGATAGCCAGTGTGATTCTAATGTTCTTGATAGTTCAGATATGTGTTTTCACTGTATTTGATGTTGGTATAATTTGGGGAGGGGAAGGGAAAAAAACAAACTTTAAATAGTGATACAAGTGACCCCATTGCAACAATGAGATGTACAAGACGTTACGTCAATAAAACGAACTTTAGGATGGGAAGGGGAAACAAAGGAGGAGGCTACAATGCTTGATAAGAAATGTACTCATTATCTTGACCATTTAATTGTAATTCCTCTGTACAGTATTTTCACAATAAAAAAAAAAACGAATTTTACCACTTTGGCTGGGGGTGGGTAGGGGAGTGATGGGAGGGCAGGGACGGTAAGGGGAAATGAAGGAGGAGGCAACAATGCTTGATAAGAAATGTACTCATTACCTTGCTCATGTAATTGTAACCCCTCTGTATGGTATTTTCACAATAAAAAAAACTTATTAATTAAAAAATAAAGAAATGTTAGGTTCAAAATTTCCTGATTTTTCTGCCAACATAAGAGTATTAGGAAGATTGTGACTAAGTAAAGGTAGCAGAAAGGAAGTACCCAAGTAGTTTAATTGTTAAGTGAAGATTTTAAATGAGAGCTTGTTATACTTCAAATGAATCATTTGCAATACAAAAAAGTTTGCAAACTTATCTAGACAGTCATGATGGTGCATACATGTAATCCAGCACCTGAGAGATTGAGGCAGGAATATCATGAGGTCAAGACCAGTGGGGACTACATAAGGAGATCCTATCTCAAAAAAACATTTAAAAATTGATTTTGTAGTATCAAACTTGCATATGATTACAGTTTGCATTTCATTCATTTCTCTTTTCGTATATTTTATAGGTGTTTGTGAGTTGTAATTTCTGTGGCAAGTCCATCTCCTACAGCTGTTCATCTGTTCCTCATCAGGGCAGAGGTTTTAGTCAGTATGGTGTGAGTGGTTCGCCAACAAAATCTAAAGTCACAAGCTGCCCAGGATGCCGAAAACCTCTTCCTCGATGTGCACTTTGCCTCATTAATATGGGAACACCTGTTTCTAGCTGTCCTGGTATGACAAAGGCACAAAATGTTTTTTTGAGTTCAGCCTGTTCATACATAATTGATTTAGTAGTGTAGGTCAATAATTTCTAAGAAAAAGGCATTTTATGGACTTATTTTTGTAATCCTTCTAACTTACAAAATCTATACATTGAAAGTAAAATTTATATCCATGATATCTTAGATAATTTCATCAATGCTGACCAATTTAAATTTTTTAAGAAAAGCTAAAAACTAATCTTAGGATTTTACCATTTACTCGTCACTTTTGTGCTAGTATTAATTGAAAATTTGTCTTTCCTATGTCTGTTAACAAATCATGCATTACAAAACAGCTTTGGATAGTCTCAAAACACTTTGATATTTCCTCTTATTTCATCTACAGATCCTAACTGAAATAAATAGAAGAAAGTATTAGCCTAGGAATGTGGTCCTTTAGGTTTTGGTGTTGCTTCTAGTAGATAGATGTCTTTTTAATGGCTGGAAATACTGATTACTTTTTACTCATTTGTGATAAACATGGAAAAATTTTGAAAATAGTATATAATAAATACAGTGTACCTATGACCAGGAATATTCTACCTATTTACCTAACTTAAAATTGATATCTTAGCAAAAATGTAAATCAAAATATTTTGGATATTCAACACACCAGTATACAAAATGGGTTTAATAGTGTCAGAGTATCTGTTTTAGTTCCATGATATTTACTCTGTGACATTGAGTTACTTTAGCTATGTTAATATAAGGTGTTAGACTGTCAATCTAATAGTACTTAATTAGACCTAACAATTTTATTTTTATATCTTTATGAAATTTTAAAATCTTTTATTTCATCAGTGTTTTTATGAACAAACCACATTGAAGTGGCCAAAATTAATAGAATCAGTATTTTCAAAGCACAGGTTACATAAACATGCATAATGTAGTGTTATATATATGTAATCATATGATACAGCTCACGACATAGATTAAAATTATATTGTTAAAGTTTTTAACAATTTGCATCATATAACTTTAAATTTATATACATATATATGTATACATATCATATATACATATCATATACAGTGATAACCAAAGAAGAATGAGGCTCCTTATCTTATTCTAGTCCATACCAGTACTTTTGGTCATTTTTCCTTGCCTAGTGACACCTTTTTCATCCTCTCTAAAGGTAACCACCATCCATGTTAATCATCTCTTGCTTCTATGTATAATTTTTTCCACATATTTAGTTTTGCTTTTGATTTGAATTTTATATAAATGATAGAAAGTAGTCCTGGGTATTAAATTCAGAGTCTCATGTTTGGTATGCAAGTGCTCTGTCACTTGAGCCATGCTCTCAAATCCTTTTACATTTCTTTTTTGTCAGTCATGGGATTTGAACTCTGGTCACTGCCCTCAGCACTTCAGCTCAAGGCTAGCACCACTTGAGCCATAGCGCCACTGTCAGTTTTCTGGTATTTTATTGGAGATAAAAAGTCTCATGGACTTTCCTGCCCGGGCTAGACAGATCCTCAGATCTCAACCCCTGGAGTAGCTAGTATTACAGGCATGAGCCGCCGGCACCTGGCTGCTTTTCATTTTTCAGATATCTCTCACTTTTGCCTCAGGTACCTTTTGAGAGAGTATCACTAAGTTTTGGCTGGGCTGGTGATGAGCTTCACTTCTGTTTTTACCTCCCAAGTACCTAGGACTATGGAAATTACTGACTTACCTGTTTTAGTCAACATTATACTTGGGGTAGGAGGGGTTGTTGGCTTGTTTCAGTTATACTTGAACACAGCTATTCTACTTAGGATTTTTATGTCTGTTCAGGAGGGAGATTGGTCTGTAATCTTTCTTACTTTATCTTTGTTTTAGCAAAGGTTTATGAATGTGAAGGTTTTTTTCTTTTTGTTCTTTAAAAGAATATATAGTTAGAATTATTTGTACCTTCAGTATTTGGTAAAATTCACCTGTAAACTGGGCCTGGTATTTTCTTTCAGAAACATTAAACTACTACAAAGTTTTGGATTCAATTTTTTTTTAGTGGTAATTTATATTTTTTTACTTTTATATTTTTTTACTTTTTATTTTTTGTTGGCTATATACAAACATAGGCAAAATCCTATGATTTAATATTTATTCAACTTAAACTGTATCTTAACATTAGAATTATAATACCAATGTGATGTATAATTTATGTTTTGAACATAGTCATAGAAATATTATTATGAACTTAAAATATTGTGACATGGCTGCTAATAATGAACATCTTCTTTTCCTGTAGGTGGATCTAAATCAGACGAAAAAGTGGATTTGAGCAAGGACAAGAAATTAGCTCAATTTAACAACTGGTTTACATGGTGTCACAACTGTCGGCATGGTGGGCATGCTGGGCATATGCTTAGTTGGTTTAGGTAATGAGTATATTCCTTCTTCAATAAGCTTAGAGTTACAAGACATAAAAAGGTGGCCTATTAAATAGTTCAAGTTATTATTGTAAGCTATTAATGTCTAGTCAAAGGATGAATTTTATTAACAAATTTTAGAGTATATGTTTCTGTACTATATAATCTTAAACTAAAAATGAATACTTATATAATAGAAGTACTTATGGATTAAATGTTTGAATCGCTTCATTTGGGGAGATGATGTGTTCATAGCTCTTTACAAATGACTGAATATTCTGTAGTTTATCATGTAATCGAGTACATGTCAGATTATTAGATTATCTTTTGTGAATGAGCTTGGTGTGTAGGTATAAACAAATAGAATGGGGACTCTCAAAATGAAACTTTTTTTTTTTGTTTTCTGGTACTGGGGCTTGAACTCAAGGCTGTGTACTCACTTCGCCTGTTTGCTAGAGCTCTACCACTTGAGCCACACCTCCAGTTCTGGCTTGTTGCTGAGTAATTAGAGATAAGAGTCTTTCAGATTTGCCTGCTGGGCTAGCTTCAAACCTCCATCTTCAGATTCTTGAGTAGCTAGGACTGTAGTGTGAACCACTGACACCCTGTGTAAGACTGTACTTTTATTTTGAACAGTGCCAGTCATGCTGTGCTCTTTATTATTGTAGCATTCACCCGCAACTTATTAAACTTCATTCACATCCCTATCACTTTCCCAACTGTAAGTAAGCTATATACACAGAAAGAAGAGTCATTCATATTTAAGTCATGTTCTTCCCTAAGTTCAGCTAAGTAATCATTGAAGATCTGAGGTTTCTAAGATGTCTTTCCTCTAGGATTAATACTTTTCCAAATGCCATTTTGGAAACTTGAATTATAGATACATACCAAGAGATAAACAAATGTATGTGTGAATGTGTAGTTTGGATTTTTAACTGTTACTTGATTTTATTTTTATTTTTTTATTTTTTTTAGGGATCATGCAGAGTGCCCTGTGTCTGCATGTACATGTAAATGTATGCAGTTGGATACAACAGGGAATCTGGTACCTGCAGAGACTGTCCAGCCATAAAATGTTTCACCTAAAGAGAAACCTTCAAGTGGGAAATTTTCTAATGGAAGTCCTTCATAGCTCAGAAATATACCTCAGAACAAGTCACTTATGACTTCCCAATATTGGGAAAATAAATCATTCTATCAGATCAGCAATTTGATGTTTGAGTGCTTTTGATGTGCTTCAGAGACAAATGCTACTAGAATGAATATCAGAGTATGTGAGCATGTGTTCTATATGAGCATGTGTTCTATTCAGTAGGTAAAAAGTTCATTTTAGAACTTTTTTGGGTTTTATCAAAATTACAAATGCTGTATAAGAGCCCTGGTGATAAAAAGAACAGACCTTATGCCTGTATCTCTGAAACTGAAATTAGATATCTTTCAATAAAATCTTTACACTTTTAAAATAAAGTGAGACTAATTCATTTATTCAGATACTAGTTCAAACTATCTATGTCTAGATTCCTTTCAGATGAAATTTAGATTGTGCATTTTACTTTTAGAAGTAGTCCTTGACTCACACTTGAAAATAAACATTGTCAATATACATTTGGTGTATGTATGTTATGTATATATGTGTGTGTGTGTGTGTGTGTGTATATATATATATATATATATGCATGGACAGTCACATAAATATGTTTCTTTTTGTGGTACTGAGTTTTGAGCTCAGGGCCTTGCATTTTGGCAAATGCTTAACTACTTGGGCCATGCCTCTAACCCTTTTTTGCTTTTTATTTCTCAGGCAGGGTGTTGATAACTTTCTGCCTAGGCTAGCCTTAACTGTGATCTTGATTCCTGCCTTCTTAGTACCTAGAATTACAGACATGAGACATTGTGTTCAGATATCTGTAAGTGTATTTTAAGTAGTCTTTTCTCTCATATACTTTCAGTATAAGAAATTTTTTTATTCTTTTTTTTTTTTTTTTGGTCCAGTCGTGGAGCTGAACTCTGGGCTGGGTGCTGTCCCTCAGCTCTTCAGCTCAAGGCTAACGCTCTACCTCTTGAGCCACAGTGCCACTTCCAGCTTTTTTCGTTTTGCTTATGTGGTGCTGAGAAATTGAACCCAGGGCCTCAGGCATGCAAGGCAAGTGCTCTACCACTGAGCCACCTTCCCAGCCCAATTTTTGAAATAGATGTTTCTTCAGAAAGCCCAAATTAAGAATGTATTTTGTAACTTTTTTTTTTTTTGCTGGTCCTGGAGCTTGAATTTGGGGCCTGGACATAGTACCTGAGCTTCATTTTGCTCCAGACTGGTGCTATACTACTTGAGCTACTGCTCTACTTTTTGTCTTTTTTCACGATTGATTAGAGATAAGAGGTCTTTACTGCCTGGATTGTCTTTGAACCAGATCCTCAGATCTCAGCCTCCTGAGTAAATAGGATTATAGGCATCAGCCACTGGTGTTCACTTTTTATTTTTTGGGGGGGCGGTCCGGTCATGGGGCCTGAACTCTGAGCCTCGGCGCTGTCTCTCAGCTCTTCAGCTCAAGGTCAGTGCTCTACCACTTGAGCCACAACACCACTTCCGGCTTTATTTTTTTCTTTTTGCTTATGTGGTGCTGAGGAATTGAACCCAGGGCCTCGTGCATGCAAGGCAAGTGCTCTACCACTGAGCCACCTTCCCAGCCCCCACCTTTTATTTTTAAAAAGAAAAATACATGCCATTTCAGGAAAATATAGTACAAAATTTTCAATTTTTTGCTTTCCAGTTTTCTTGTTTGTAGAGATTTCTCTCCATGTTAATATATCACCTTATTCTTATCATGTGGTAACATTTTATTGAACACAAAAGTTTATTCATGGCTGGGTGCAAACAGCTGAAGTTGTAATCATAGATAAAACATCTTACAGATTTTGAAAAAAGTAATACCTTAAACTGAAGAATTTAAGAGATTTTATGTTAGCAGTTTTACCCTGTAAAAACTAAGATCTGTCTGGTTGGGTAGAGACGTGACCTAAATATTGATGAAAAGTGGGTTAGAGACGTTTAAATCTTTTTTAAAAATTTTATTTTTATTGTAAACATGCTATACAGAGGGGTTAGAGTTACATGAGTAAGGTAATGAGTACATTTCTTTTTGAGCACTGCTATCTCTCCTTTGTTTTTCTCCTATCCCCTCCCCCAAGTTGTAAAGTTCATTTCCAACATGCTGTCTTGTGAGTATCATTGTTGCAATGTGTCCTTGTTTCAGCATTTTGTTATCCCTCTTCCACTCCCCAAATTAGATAAATATACATACAAGATGTAGGGTACCAAAATCAAAAACAACAAAGACAGACCTCTTGTGTCCATATCTTAGGGTTCATTTCACTTAGCATCATCTTACATGGGCATATGTACATAGCTTTTGAGCTTTTCTGCTCATCTGATAAAATTTTTAGACATATACTAATTATTGCAAATGAGGGAAACCATGGGGCCTATATTTCCTTTTTTTTTCTTTCTTTTTTTTTTTGGGGGGGGGGGTCCTGTCGTGGGGCCTGAACTCTCGGCCTGGGCGCTGTCCCTCAGCTCTTCAGCTCAAGGCTAGCACTGTACCACTTGAGCCACAGCGCCACTTCCGGGTTTTTTCTTTTTGCGTATGTGTTGCTGAGGAATCGAACCCAGGGCCTCAGGCATGCAAGGCAAGCGCTCTACCACTGAGCCACTTTCCCAGCCCATGGGCCTATATTTCTTTGGTTACTTCACTTAATAGGATTTTTTTTCCAAGTCTTTCCATTTTCAGTCTTATACAATAGGCCATTTTTTAGGAAAATCTTATTGGAAGTGATATTTAGATGCTTCAAATGTCTCACCTATGTTATATTTCTTTTAAGACCAAAATGCTAGGAATGGTCACAATTTTTTTAAAACAAAAATTGCTGATAAGGGATTTTCCTAGTCATAAGTAAATCTTAACTGGTTTCATTTTATTAAAATGAATTCTTTAATAAGGCTTCAGTTGGAGAGCTCATTTCAATTTTAGTATAAGTATGAGAAGTTAGCTTTTAAGAAATTCTTCCCATACACATTTTCTTATTTCCTTAAAATGTAATGTAAGGCTAATGAATATCTGTAGTGTTTATGATTTGGAAAATATAGAATAAAATGGAATATATTATGCTTAGTAATCATAATGCATTAAGTGACATTTAATGCTATTTATTCCTGTATTTAAACTTCCTGACAACTGCTTGGAAGCTAAACAATAGTTTATATGTTGCTTTGCATTTTGTGTGTATGGGATTAAATTACATTCAAATTACTTTCCTATTTTGATTTCTAAATTACTAATATTTGGGTTAGAAAGATATTTTACTTAAAATGTTTAATTAGAATGTTATTTTTTAATATTGAATAAACCTGAGTAAAGTCAACATACCTAATCTAGAATTTATGACTACTATGAATAATACACATAGAGTAATATCAGCAGTTTGATAGCACTTTTCATACTTAATCCTATGTAGAAATAACATAGGTTCTGTATTTTTTATTTCAGTGCCTTTCCCAGAGTAGTTACTACTCTTCAAAATGTACCTCTTAGAAGTAGTTTTCCATTTTTCAGTACTGTACATATTTAGTATAAGAAGTAAAATAATTCTGCATTTAATTGGGTGGCTAAATTTAATTTCAGTCATTAATTTGACTGGAAAAATGTAGCTTTAAAATATTAAATTATAATAGTAGGGCCAGTATTGTGAAAATAATGGTATTTTTTAACTTCATTTACTTCATATACTAAAAGTAAAGAAATACCTGCCTTGTAGAGTGATTGGGAATATTAAAGCAGTAAATATGAAATATATTCTAGTCACATAGTATTCTGTAAGTAATAGTGCTTAGCAAGTATTGTTGCCTTAGTCTTTATTGGTTACTCATGTGTCAGTACTTTAAAAATGAATGTGGCATGTTTTCTTTCATGCAGAAGCTAGATTTAAAGTACACTGATATATAATAAATTATATAGGATTCACACAGACCAAGGAGGAGGAGGATACTTAAGGAAAGAACTCAAAGGTATAATGTGCCTCTGATCCTATAAAATAATATTTATTGAAGTGAACTCCCAGGAAATAGAGATTCATTTTTTTCTTTGTTAAAATAAAAGTGTGACTTGAGTGAAGAATCTACATTTGTCTCAGGATTAAGAAAAAAGTTCAGTATGATCTCAAAAGAAAAATAACAGCTTGGATAAAATTGGTATATTACTCAGTGATATACAGAATTCCTTCAAATGACCATCTGTGTTAAATATGATAGAAGAACATGCTCATATATGAAAAGAAATTAACAGTGGACTTAAACAATTGACTAGAAACTTGTAAATTTGAGGTTTTCTGTTTTTCTTATTTTGCGGGGGATGGGGCCTAGGTGCTGTCCCTGAGCTGCTTTTAGCTCAAGGCTAGGGCTCTACCACCTGAGCGGCAGCTCCATTCCTGGCTTTTTGGGTAGTTTAATAGAAATAAGAGTCTCACAGATTTTCTTGCCTGGGCTGGCTTTGGATGTGGTGATTCTTGAATCTCAGTCTCAGTCTCCTAAGTAGCTAGGATTATAGGCATGAGTCAGCAGCGCCAGGGCTTTGAAGTTTTCTTTTTTCTTTTCTTTCTTTCTCTCTTTCTCCTTCCCTTCCTTCCCCCCTCCCTCCCTCTTCTTCCCCCTCCCTCCCCTCTCTCTCTCTCACTTTATTTCTTTTGCCTGTTCTGGGGCTTGAACTCAGGGCCTGGGCACTGTGCTGTCCCTGAGCCTCTTTGTGCTCAAGGGTACTACTTGAGCCACAGTGTCACTTCTGATTTTCGGATGGTTTATTGGAGATAGGAGTGTCATGGACTTTACTCCCTGGGCTGGCTTTGAACCATGATCCTCAGATCTCAGCCTCCTGAGTAGTTAGGATTACAGGCAAGAGCCACCAGTGCCCAGCTTAATTTTGGCCTCTTCAGTAGCTAAGATTACAGGTGTGAACCACTAGCTCCCAGCCTTGAAGTTTTCATTTTTAATGTTAAACTTTTAATGTAACTATGTAGAACTTTATGATCCTTTAACTCTCAAGTGTTCATAAGAATTTATATATTACTTATATGTAATTCTTCCTTTTCTACCATCCTGTTACACGTGATCATTTCAGTTAGCATGTTGGGTGGTAGTGATAATAAAGGAAATACACTGTGATGTGAGATTGTTCTCCTTAGAAATAGCAATAATTAAAACAAATGGACACTAGTCATTCATCAGCTGCTAATATCTGCTCTGATGGAGCCATCAGTGGTGGGCAAGAAATTGTTTAGAATCCTTATATGAAGTCTAGCCCCAATGCAATGGCAGAAACAAGAGTTAGCTGGATACACTTCCCTATCATCTGCCTTTTTCCCCTCTCTGATTGTTTTGTAGTTCCTTCACTAATTATGAAACAGCAATATTTTTTAAGACT